AAGTTGGGGTTAACAGCCTTTCAGTTCCAAATTTATCTACTGGGAGAGAGGATTGTCTCCTGTTGTTCAGCATGTATTGACTTTGCTTGGGACAGCATGTGTGGTGAAACCAAGACCTAGGTATGGAAATAAAAGAATTCGGAGCAAGCCTTAGAATAAGCAGCTCAGCTTTTCTGCAACCACAGCAGAACAAGAACATCTCAGACGAGATGTTTTGCTGGTCAGAGCGTGGTGTTTTTGACAAACTCAGGCTTGTACTGGATTGTTAGAGATAGCTAGAAATTAGAGCTGTGATAGTACCAGCAGTGCATCCTTCTCAGCAGCTTTGCTAAAAAATAAACCTAATTCTAACCCTTAAGGGTTATATCTGTAATGGCTGTGGTTTTGAAATACTAAATTCACGCATTTCCTAGCTCGCTCCTGGTGTACAGGGAATACTAGAAATTTCCCTTTTGAAAAAGAACAGTCACAGGGAAAAACTTAGCTGAAACCTGCAGCTGAGTACAGTAATATAGCTTTTTAGTACATTATTAAAGGAGGTCATAACTCTCAGGAAGACAGCCCTGCACACATCACTTGTGTATTAGCACTGCCTTTGGTCTGTTACTGCTGTACAACTCCTCTGGGACGTACGGTTTTCATAGTGGTGAATGGACTGGAGAAGCTTGAGGACAGCGATGCTGGGAACAGTACTCACAGCAGGGAGAACCTCACACACCGCTGGGGCTACTGGTGACCCTGCTGCCAGTGTGGGACTGGGATCCACAGCTCCGCAGCGTGTCTGGAGCCGTGGCAGCTGGCGTATGTGGTTTGGGGTTTTACCCCCTGAGGAAACTGTTCTCTATCTGTCTCTGCAACAGCTGCTCACAGAAGTTCTGCTCACAAAGGGATACTGCTGCTAGTGGTGCAATGGCCTCCTCTGGTTATAAAATGGCCCCGGAAACGTCTACTGAAACATACCTCAGTAACGGTTAGTACTGGTAGGGACAGTAACTGTTCTATTACTATTGTGGCGGTTACAAATTGGTCTTTCGGCTGTGTGCTCAGAGTATGGCATTATTAGTGTTAACAAAGGATTGAATACACTGTGTCAAAATGCTCCAACTCCTAGACTAGCCCAGCACTTCCAGAAATCACAGATGTAAATCAAATTATTACCTACTTCTTTCAATGCCCACCTCAAATTACCCTCACTGGGCTGCACTCTACTCTCAGGGTGGGCACTTCCCACCATTTCTGACCAAAATATTATTTTACACTTTAGGAAATGCAATTCAGTGAACTTGTGGGGTATACTAGACGGGCAGCAATTCATGCATTGGAACATAAAGGTCTAAGCAATTACTTTGCCAGGTCCTTTTTAGGCGTTCCCTTACCTTGCACAGTGGCATCCTTATTGCTAGTGCATGCTGCCTACAGCTGTGACTTGCTTTGAAAGACAAAACCCAAACCAAACAACACTCATTCCCCAACATCCTCTCCCCTCCCCACCTCTTTCCTCAGACACATAAGCTCTGTTACTAAACACTCTTCTGTCTTACTTGTGCTTCCTATAGAGAAGCTGGACTTCCACAAAACCCATCCAGAGGGGAGCAATGGATGCCTGTTCCCTGCCTGCTCCGGTGGCAATTACTGCTGTGGCTGGATGGGGCAGTTTCTACCACTCTCGAGGACCTGTTGGAGCATGAGGAGGCCATGAAGATGCTCCGAGGGCTGGATCACCTCTGCTGTGAGGACAGGCTGAGAGAGTTGGGGTTGTTCAGCCTGGAGAAGAGAAGGCTCCAGGGAGACCTCGTAGCCCCTTCCGGTACCTGAAGGGGTCTACAGGACAGATGGGGAGGGACTCTTGATCAGGGAGTGCAGTGATAGGATGAGGGGGAACGGTTTTAAACTGAAAGAGGCGAGATTTAGATTAGGTATTAGGAAGAAATTCTTTCTCTGAGAGTGGTGAGGCACTGGCCCAGGCTGCCCAGAGAAGCTGTGGCTGCCCCATCCCTGGAGGTGTTCAAGGCCAGGCTGGATGGGGCTTGGAGCAACCTGGGCTGGTGGGAGGTGTCCCTGCCCAGGGCAGGGGGGTTGGAACTAGATGATTCTTTAAGGTCCCTTCCAACCCAAACCATTCTATGATACACAGTTAAACAGGCAGGTAATGAAGATGTTCTAATACAGTGTGTTTTGTTGCTTGTTTTTTTTTTCTTCCTTTGGACTACATCAATCATAATTGCCAATTAAAATGGTAGCTAAGTAATGGAAGCCTTAATATGTGCTAATCATCCTTGTAAACTTGTCAGACTGAAACAGATGGGGTTGCTGGTGTGTGTCCATAGCATTAGGAACTGTGGTATGATGCAACTGATCTTTTTAGTCCAACGTGATAATTGCTGTCTTGTTACGTACTTGGCTGTGCCGTTTTACAGTAATGCAGGTGTCAGTTACAGGTGTCTGACACAAATCACAATGGCTTTATCTTATGGCTTATGGGGCTTTGTTGTTGTTAGAAGAACCACTGCCTCAAGACAAAGTAGAAGTCTAATACTAGCAAAACAGCTTTAACACAGTAAGTTGACACACGATGAGAAACTCTCACCACTTAAAGGCACAGAAATGATTAGTTTACAAAGATGGAAATGTGCCTGAACATGTTAGCATGTGCTGACAGTTTCGAAATTGTTAAAATACGTAGCAGTGGCCACTTGTTTCTGATTTCTTTCTTATCTGAAAACCAATCTTAAACAGAAAAATGCTCTAAATATGCTTTTGATATCTTATGGCTAACACTTGGTGCACAGCAGGGAGAAAAAACCACCATCAGTACAACTGCAGAGACACCCTGTACACGATGCCTGATTTTGCTGCAGGGGTGACCGCCTCTACTCTGTGTTTGGGAACCAGAAAGCCCCTGCTTTAGGAAACCTCACGCACATCTTTGGATACTGAAAATCTATCAATTCTGTGTACACGTGCGTATTATTTATTTGTTTTCTATGAGGTGTCTAATGCTCACTAGAAGCAACGTTGTAACTAATATGCTACATCAGTACCGTAGCCCGTTGGATGACACACAAAAGCAAGCTTAGGCCAACAGGAGAATGTCGTGCAGAACATCTGCTAAGGAGCTTGTGCACTGACTGACAGCAGAGAAGGGTCTGTCAGTACAAAAAGCTGCTCTTGGTGTTGGTTAACTTTTTGTTGCCTCTAAGAACCCCCATTCATGTGGATCACTGGAGAAGGGAACTGAGCTGTTCTAATCCCTCAGAATATTCCAGGGCTGAGGGCAAATATATTAAGGGGCTGCAGAAGGTCCCGTGGAATCTTGATGAGTTTTACTTAATCTTGATTTCTCCCAGATTATCCCCAGTGCAAGCTCTTCTATAGCACAATGATTTGCTGTTGGTCCTGGGAGCTCGGGTCACAACTGACAGTTCAAAGTATCACAACTGCTCAAGTGTTAGTGAGCAACAACAAAAATCCTCAAATGTGGTATGTCACTGCTGCGTTACTACAGTGGACAATGTATGATATGGGTGAGAGAATGCAGTATTAGAATGGGATCATGGGAGACACTGAAATACTTGGGCATTTCCTTAGGCAAAATTCATACTACAGCAGTGTCTCTGGTTTTACTTCAAACTTTTACGTCACCTTCAGGGGCCATATGGTGCTCTAGCTGTTGCGGTAAGCGAAGGCTCAGACTGTGCAATGAGTCAGTCAGGGCGATGGTGCAACATAAAGCTAACTGCTGTCTGCTGGAGACTGGGCTACAGAGGCTAGCTCACTGCAGGGGGAGAAAACAACCTGTTGGAAGGGAGGGAAAGACGGAGGCCATCTGGAGGAAGAGAAGCTGAGGAGGACACTGGACTGCAATTTATTAAGAACAAGCAAAAATAGAGTTCTCAG